CACTGTAATAGTTCTACTATGGCAGCTTGGTTATTGCACATCTCCCTTAGTTATATAGTTATACACATCTCCCTAGGTTCCCACACCCCTGACCTGAATGCAGCTGAGTATATTGACAGACAATTTTAATAATAATATTTGTCTGATCCCCATGGGGAAATTCTCTTTTCACCTACCCCATCTTGCTCTCCGTGGGACACACATGCAGGTGAGAGTAAGCTTGGAGATTGCAGCAAAGGGTCTCCCATTTGTTGCACCCATGGAGTTGGGGCTTAAGGGCCTTGCTCGTGGGCTCAAGACCACATGGATATTTTACCAAAGCCAGGCTTAAATGGGCAACCTTCCAATCACAGACACAGTGCTTTAGCATGCTAAGCCACATTACTGCCATGCTCACATTGTGTCCCTTTGGCAACAGATGACTTTTCAGAAAATATTTCATTTTGACAGCTTAGTGACTTGGAACTCACTACCATAAATATCACACTCCTTTCACTGCAGAACCTTGAATAACAGACCTGCTGGGTGCGTTATAGTCTCTGGCCACCTGCCTGACGGGTATCTCCTGCTCAGGCCTGAGGAAGCAGACTGTCCATGAGCCTCCTTTAAACCCTGAACATACGGCCCAGAAATTCACACCAAAACCTGGTACTAAAGAGCCCCCTTCAGAACATAAACGTCACCAAGGAGGTGACTTTTACATCCGTACATGTTTATGCCAAGATCTCATCAAATGCTCCAAAATATCTGATTTCTTATGGACTGTTTACAAGCTGCTAATCTTTCCTTTTAGCCTACTTCCTGGTAGTGAAATTTAATAAATACACGGAATGGCTGACGTGCCCCTGAGGAGAGGATTGGGAACCAAAGCGGTGCATGTAGCCACCCAAGAAGATATCGGTAACTTTTTGGAGAACAGAAGAAATTATTATTTTTAAATTGTGTCACGGTTAATTTGCATGTTTAACTCATGTTAAATTGTGTTTTGTTTTTTTTCATCTGACCAAATATATTATATATATTATACATATATAAATATATGTTTAGGGGGAGAGCAAGATGGGATTATTATATCTAAAGAATTCCTATGTACCTGAACTCCTACTTGTACAAACGGCAAAAAACATCGATACGTGTCATTTTCAATTCAATTACAGCAAAAGAATTTTGAAGTTTTAGTAAAGCGTTAAAGAAAATGTCCACCAGGGTGTGCTGTGGGACATTTCCCTTTCCTCGTAAGAGGACAACATCCGTAGTAAATGCGGTCGCAGAGGTAGATGGGTTATCTTACAGCACCATATTTTAAATTAAGTGCATTTTAAAACGGTCTAGGTGACTAAACTAGGGAAAATAATTTGAAAAGTCGACCGAAAGTTTTTTTCCCCAGACTCCCCTGCAAGGACAAGCCAACATGGAAAACGGAAGGAGCATTTTGTAAAATAAATTGCAGTAGGCTACTTTTAATGGAATCTATTTTACTAAAATTGTCGTAGAGTAACATGGTACCATAAGTGGACTGATATGAAAAGCTACCAAAACTAGCTAGCGAATTTGATGTATTCTTGCCTTTAAAAAAGTAATAGGCCTACTTCTTTGACACATATTTCAATTTTACCGTTAAGTAATAACTGGTATATAAAGCGCACATTTATTTTAAATTGGACAATCATAGAAACTTCCGCTATAACTGAAATGAAACCAATACACACATACTTACATTAGTGAAAAAAAATCTGATGATCTGATGGACTTTATTAGTATCAAAAATACTATTATGCTTAATTTGTATAATTAAAAAAAAATCAGCTTTCAATGATACAGCATACTGAAGAGATCTTTATAGTTTTTCTTTTCTTTTAATCCTTAGAATTTCTTCCCTATCACTTCTTGGTGAAAACGCAGTAGGATTTCTGCAGAGGACGCTAAATTTGCTGGAACATTCTAATGCTTGCAAGAGCCCCGGAAAGTTACATCAGTGCTGGTAACTTCGGTAGATTCTTACATCATAAAAAAAGTGCAGGCCACTTAAAGTAACGAAGAAAAACATCCATATGATGTATACTGACGAATTTTCAGAGCAAATTTAAATTGTAGAAATAACTTCTACAAAATGATTCTTTTAGAATAGTTACCAATGCCAGCTAAAAGTATAGAAAAGAAGTTTCTCCAATGGAGATGTGACAATGATAATAGAGAAGACTCAACAAAGTGCCTGTTTACATTCCCAGCAGTGGCGTTCTGCTGGATCACTGCATCAAACACATATTGGGTAGAGCCTACAGCTGCCATCTCCATTACTGAAGGCTCTTGTCTTTACCAGGTTCCTAGCAGTAGAAATTTCCAACATAAATTCCAAAGTTGGAGAATCTGTCTTGGGTGACTGGGTGCGCTGAAAGTAAGCACCAGTTTGACCAGTGTGCACATGGGTTTTGTGTCTTTTACATTTACACTGGGATAAAAAAAAACAAATGATTTTCTTTTGTTTTATCATGTTTTAATATACACTACCTCACTTCATAACACTATTTGGTTGCTCATTTGTCTGTTGATGTGTCCCCCCCCCCCTTTTTTTTTCCCTCATTGGTGTTTCCCGTGTGGCCATATCTGGGGGGGGAGGGGGGGTTCTGTGTGGGTGAATTTGAATACAGCAGCTGAAGCCTGAATCTGTTCTATATATTTTTGTCGATACTATGTTGCTGGTTGTAAAACTCAATAAAAAAAATTGAAATAATAAAATAAATGAGCCACAGACAATCTGACAAAATCAGACAGATTTTGCCAGTGGAACGCTAGAAGTTCTAGGATTTACCTAGACCTAAATCACCTTGATTTTATCGTACTATGAAAAAAACTTCGACTTACCAGAAACCCCCTTTTCAGAAGAATGCCACATACATGGCTGAGTTATTCTGAGATCGAGTGATTGAAAACAGATGGTTATAATGGGCAGTTACTATTAACTTTGTCTTTAGCAAGTCTCCACCCTGCTCTGCTAAATACTTGTGACTTCTAACAGAACAAATGCTTATCATAAACCTTCCTTGCTAATGTAACCCATGAATGGAATACATCTTTGTCGAAATACCATGCAGACGTCCAGTATATGTCTTCATGTCAGACGTATTAAGGCCTAATACGTTAAGTTTTTGAAGATTGATATTCCAATAACAAAGGATCTCTTCTGCCACGTGGGCCTGTTTGCAAAAGCTATGTAACACATACACGGAATCTAACATATTTTTTGAGACTTTCTGAGGAACTTGTGCTTGGTTAAGAGGTCACCGAATGTTGCCCAAAGAAAACAACTTCACTGGGGGTGGGGGTTGGATCCACGTCACAAAGGGTGCATTTAGGTAGAAGCAATAAGAATGTTCGCAGCTGCAAAGGGCTATTTCCGGGTTTCTCTGAATACTCATAGCATGGAAGGTGTTGTTGTGCCCCTCTGGTTATCAAAGGAGGCAAATCAGCTCAGAGCTCATTTAACCCAGATTTAAGGCTGCATTGTCTGGGGAAACTACAGTTTAAATTAACTGACTGAAAACAAAACTAAAATATAAAACTAAAACGTTAAGACAATCTACATCCAACTTTTATTCAAATACGTAAAACAAATAACTTTAATTAAATACTGCTGATACAAGACTATACCTGGAGTATTCCAGAAACAATGACATAGGTGCTACTTTACCTTCTGCAGTAGCTGTGAAGTGGATGAGTGGAATATCAGCGTTTTGACAATGAGACCAGACCCTGCTTTGATGTTGACCAGGCCAAGCCTGAGGGTGCGAGTGTGGGGGGTGGAGGAAGGGGGTGGCAGCATCTAATGGATCTTCTCAAACACCCATGTTTGTAGAAGCCTCAGGGGACACGGACCCACAAGAGAAAATGGTGCGCATTCCTCAACTGCCATATAAAGCCAGGCGACGGATCTTCCCCAACGAGCAGCAAAGCAGCTGATTACACATTTAAACGCTTCTATAATACTCTTGTCTTCTTTATTTTTGCATTAACAGAAATCATTTTTGGCAGCATGTTGACCATGGTTTAATATAAAAGAAAGTAATTTTTCTATGAAGTGTACGGCTAATAAGATTCCTAACGCAACAGAAAGATTATCCTTGGATTCATTGTTTGAAGGTAAAAATCTACTGCAGACAATGATTTATACCACCGATTAGTAAGGAAAAATCAGGCAATAATTCTGGGCTGCGTTAGTCACTCTAGATATCAGCTAATATGAAATTAAAATGATGAAGACTAGTGTTATGTGTGTTTTTTATTGGGGAACTCCGATAGCTAGGCATACGTTCATATTTTAAAATAATTGTAGATTATGTTACTTGTAACTTACATTATAGAATACATTACATACATAAATAAGGAGCTCTAATACCAAAAATGGACCAAATGAATATGAATGATATGAATATAAAAATGTAGAGTTAGTGGCTATTAAACAGAGTTTTAGATGTCAAACACCCAGGAAGAACATTAACTGGCCACAGCATCTGCACTGATAGCTTCCATTTTGACACCCCCATTTTGGATCTAGCATCAGCCTGCTGGGATCTGCTCGGGTTGCGGACGTGGCAGTGGGTTGGGGAGGGGGGGGGGATGGGGGATCTGTGGAATAAGGGAATTGTTTAAAGAAAACAATTTTTTTTCTTCATGATCATGACATTGTGAGGGAGTCTGTCTATAATGCAAAACTCCGATGGTCAAAGAAAACATGCAAGATGTCATCCTTCTACACTGCTGGTGCACGATTCCCGATATGATCTCATCAGAAGAAAACAATCCATCTGTCACCAGTGCACACAAGACAAGCCCTTGATGTCCCAACACCTCTGCACCTCAAAACTAATTAAAAATAAACATGATTTTCAAGAAAAGTATAATGAGCAGATTTATGAGTGCAGGGGCATAGGGTGTAGGCATTAGGACCTTGAGGTCCACTTAGAGGAGCCCAAATTTCGGGGGGAGGTCTCAACCTAAGTTTGGTGGAGAGTTTCTCATTTGAATATTCCTTTCCCAGCTTCCAGAAACTTCTTTCCCGCGGTATATAGGCCTGCAGAAGCACTGGTTACTCTGCAAGATTCCAGCACGCAGGGACAGAAGACGACTGAAGGGTTTATCAAGGTAAGAAATTGCCATAGGACTAAGAGGGAAGGGGCTTTTTCAATAGATTAGTAAATGGATGTCATACATTATGTGCTTTTGTTCAGTAAGATCTACATAGACATTGTGATTCCATGATGTCAGGAATGAGCTTTCATCTAATATGAGAATTTTGTCAAGTTGCAAGCAAATATTGCAAGTAGGTCTATGTGTTCTTTCTGATTGATGTATTTCAACTTTTTGTTCTTTTGTTATGTGGGGGTGAAAGGCGTGACATGAAAGTCTTTAAAAATACTGTCATCCTGTCCATTTTTGCCTTGTAATATAATTAAATCTGGCAAACAAGCGACAGCATGTTCAAGTTATCAAGCTCTGCTAGAAGTGGGGAAGGGATTTTGCTCTTCAGAATCAACACTTTAAAGGAACAAATTACTTTTTTTTCTGTAGAAATTTCAGTGAACTGTATCGTTACATTTTAGTGCAGGGAGTGGTTAAAAAGATGTCGCTGAAACATGACTCTTCTCACAGGAAATCTGACTCCCCACTGTGGAAGTTCTGATTGGACAGAAAGTCGCATTAGATTTCTTCTGGCCAATGAGAGTCTTTTCTGTGTCTGACTGTATAACGCTACATGTGTACTGCATTGGTGTGGCATTCTCAGGGACTGTAAATGATTTTTAAAAGTAACTAGAGGCAATACAGAAAGAGAATGAAAGAGGAAAAAGTTATCATTAATTTCCCCATCTGAAGTATTTCTACTTGCCCTGTGGCCATTATATTATGCACCTCTTGTCTTTCAGAATGAAAATCGCAAAAGTTGACATCAGTATGAAAACCTTTGAAGGTATCCAATGTTGTTGAAATAAAATCTGAAACAAACCACACAAAAACAGACAATTGTAACTATTTCATGTCCCCACTTTGTTTCCAATGCTGGAGTTAAAAGGAACGGGGTCGTCAACCCAAATGGTAGCATGAGGGGGGGAAAAGAATCTGAAAGAGATAAGACTTTCTGATAGCCTCAGGCTACACAATCTGTGCCTCTGTCTGGCCGCCTGAGATTGCAGCTGAGATTGCAGCAGATACGCATGTCTCTTGTGGCAGAGACACACCCTCATATAGCATAAGAACATGCTGATTTACATGAATCTGTGAACTGGAATCCAGCTGAAAATCCTGAATGAATGCATTGTGTGGAGAGACGGATTTAAAGACACTGCACTGTAGGCAGTGGGAGGAATCTGATAACGTGGGAAGTACACTAACTAAACACCAGCTCCAGCAGTTAGAATTAAAAATCCTTTTTAGATTAACTTATTATATTAAGGCTTGCCTACGTTAGCAGGTAAGTGTGGATCATAGTTCTGCTTCGCAAGGCAGTGCTCGTGTCTTACTGTCCTGATTGTTTAGCTTTAGCAGTTGTTTAGCTGCTGATGTGGCTGTTATGTAAAACGTCTGCTTGGAATTTGCCAGACCAACGGTGGCTGCACAGTGACTGGCTTGCGGAATAATTACATGTTATTCCCTAGCTGAACGGCTAAACGTTGGCAAAGGTGTTTCACAGCTCAAAGCTCAAATTCTAAAACAGAACCCTCATTATTATTATTATTTTGTCATAATAGAGCTGGGGAACACTGTGTTAAATTTCATATTTTCCTCCCCATTTTCAGGTCTTCATTACTGCTCTCAATCACTGAAGATTCTGATTCTGAAAGAATGTGGGTGACAAAGGTGGCAGCTCTGTGCCTGATGGTTGCGTCAGCCACTGCCGAGAAGAAGCTTAGCAAACATGCCGCTACCTTAGCAGACAACAGCGCTAACCTGGCCTTCAACCTATACCAAAACATGGCCAAGGAGAAGAACCTCGAGAACATCCTCATCTCCCCGGTGGTTGTCGCCTCCTCTCTGGGCCTGGTAGCTCTCGGGGGCAAGTCTTCCACGGCTTCCCAAGTCAAGGAAGTGCTCAGTGCCAGCAAGGTGCAAGATGAACATCTGCATGCTGGCCTGGCCGAGCTCTTGACCGAAGTCAGCAATTCTACAGCCCGCAATGTCACCTGGAAGATCAGCAACAGGCTGTACGGCCCCAGTTCCGTCACCTTCGCCGACGACTTTGTCAAGAACAGCAAAAAGCATTACAAAGTTGAGCACTCCAAGATCAACTTCAGGGACAAGCGAAGCGCCATAAACTCAATCAACGAGTGGGCATCCAAATCCACTGATGGAAAACTGCCGGAGATCACCAAAGACATGGAGAAGACAGATGGAGCCATGATTTTCAACGCTATGTTCTTTAAAAGTAAGTAGCCCTTTGAAAGGCTGATGAGCATTCAAATAATTGAGGGTTCAAGACGCAATTTCATCTGCTTACCTTTGTAATTTTAACATTTATCTACAGCTCATTGGGATGAGAAGTTCCACCACAAAATGGTTGACAACCGTGGTTTTATGGTATCTCGCTCGTTTACTGTCTCCGTTCCAATGATGCATCGCACGGGTAAGTACCTTAATTATGTCACTAGCTGACCTTTAGAATTAAACAAATAGTAATACTGCAATGGCAGCATTCTAGAATGGACTAAGTTGTGTTAGAAAGAGCTTGGAAGGGTATGAAGAGATGGGAGGCTTAGGTCTCATTTTTGCTCTCTATTCCTTAGGGTTATACAAATTTCATGAAGACACGGAAAACAAGTTGTTTGTACTGGAGATGCCTCTGGCCCACAAGATGTCCAGCATGGTGTTCATTATGCCATACCACCTGGAGCCCCTGGAGAGGCTGGAAAAGCTGCTGACCCGCAAGCAGGTGGACGCTTGGCTCAGCAAGCTGGAGGAGAAGGCGGTGGCAGTATCTCTGCCCAAAGTGAGCCTGGAAGTCAGTCATAACCTGCAGGTAAGTGATCTGAAGATCTCGCTGCAATAGAAGGCTTCCAATTCAACTCAGATCACTGCACTTTTATCATGAAGACTTCATTACTATCCTCATGGCAACCACTTGGCGATCTCAATAGCTTGGACTTGAATCGTGTTTTGGACTTGGACTTAGTCCCAGTCGACGTTGGTTCATTCTTACTGTCCTTTGAAGTCTCACTTTGAGTTACAATTTTTATTGTCCGTTGATGTCTTTAGCTGTATGAAGCATCGCAAAATATGACTGCCTGACACCTTAGTTACCACTAATAAAACTAAAAATATAATAATAAAAAGAAAGCTGGGTTTGGATATAGTCAACGGTTTTTAAAACATTTAATCTCCGCTGGATTTTAACACAAATTTTCATGTTTTCCCAGAAACACCTTGGTCAGCTTGGTCTTACTGAGGCAGTGGATAAAAACAAGGCCGACCTGTCCAACATCTCTGGGAAGAAAGACCTGTACCTGTCCAACGTCTTCCATGCCTCAGCCCTGGAGTGGGACATCGAAGGGAACCCCTTTGACGCAAGCATCTTCGGCACGGAGAAGCTCCAGAACCCTAAGCTGTTCTACGCAGACCATCCGTTCATCTTCATGGTGAAGGACAACAAGACCAAATCTATCCTCTTCATTGGCAGGCTGGTTCGACCCAAGGGTGACAAGATGCGAGATGAGCTGTAGTGATTCCCAGGGATGTCAACCTTTACTGTGTATGAATTGAGTATGAAAAGGCAATGGAAATGTTTTTGGTAGATCAGTTACCTCATAAGCACATTCCACTATATTAGGTATGGACCAGTATCTGGGTCTGCCCCTCCTGAGGTATATGTGAGAAACACCCACACTGACAGTCAGTTTAGCTAATATACTTTTATATCTGCTGGGCTCAAAGGTAAACAAAATGTCACATGACTGCACAGTGAATCCCACCAACACATTAAAAAACACCACTGAAGAACAGTTCTCTAGCTTGATGAGTCTTAACAACCACGTGCCTGTTTCGGCAAGTCATGTGACCGGCATGCTTATATTAAGTGTGATCTCTCTGAGTTTTGCCATCGTTGTCCAATCAATCCAAAAATCCACCCAAAAGAAACATGCAGGTTTTGTGAGGATATCTTTAATGTTTAAAGTAAAAAAAAAAAAGACGAAAGTTTTGCATTGATGTCAAAAGATTATGTGGTGCTGTTTATGTCCTCCCCATGCCAAAGAAACCCAGTAATTTGTTTTAAACCATCATCAGTGTGTTGTTACCCAGGGTTCTTGCCACGTGACTTATGTTGGAAAACTGTCACCTTTGTTTTTTGAATAAAACTCATAAAAACAAAATTTGTACTGTATTACTTCATTCAAGCATCTTTTGCAGTTGTACAAGTTTTTAATATATGGTTTCATTTACGACAATGGAGTGCTCATCTAAAGCGTATGAAACAGCAATTGCATTCTCCCCAGGATGCATGTTAACGTATATAACGTAACATTTACTAAATTAAGACAACTTCATCACATCACGTGAGATTTGTAAAGCACAAGTGAATTTTGTGCGAAATCCCACAGTAACAGTGATAAACTTGTGCAAGTAAGAAAATAAAACATAGCTAAACAAGACGAGACACTAACGCAATATGACTGTATAATACAACAGCAATATTCTGTAGCTGAAACTCAGAAGTATCCTACTTGTATAGAGAACAGAACAAATACACAAGATCGTGATGGTCGCGAAAAACCGCCCACGATTAGCCGTTTTACCGCACAAAGCCCCCTTCTGAAGCATTTGAACACGTAGCCTATATAGTGTTCTTAATGCCCCGGACATTATCCCTGATACTGATCTCACTGATTATTAAATTATACGATATATTATGAGGCAGTACTAGACTGGGATTAAAAATCGACTCTTTTACCCAGACAAGTCCTCCGCACATCCACGCCCACGGATGATTTCCGCCGATCGGGGTTGGGGGTCCGACCCATTAACACGTCGGCTCACCGGAAAAATGCCACGTATGCAAAATAGTCACTCCAGGCCTGTTATCTGTGATTGCAAAGTCTTAAATCTTGCCTGGGTTACATGGGATCTCCTCGGATGAGCAGGCGCCATGTAAACTGGAGGTGCAGCAGTGCAGTGTTAACGCGGAGAGAAACAGTAAATATAGTAACTCAGTCATTTTTGTGCCGTCGTTTTTCTTACTTCCCCCCCAACAAAAGAAGGTCATTGCACTACAATGACACGTGCAGCCTTTAGTCTGCTTCCAGTTGCTTTCGCCTCTTTTAGAGCATGACACGCAGAGATGCTTCTTATTTCCCATTTTAGGAATTGAATCTGCTGAATCTCAAGTATGGGAAATCGCCGTCCCGGTTTCGCCAGTACATTAACATCTTGACACTGATATTCCCAATCACAAAATTACTAAATCGGATTTTACACAATTTCCGTCTTTAATAGATATTTTAACCACCAATGACTTAGACATATGTAGGCCTAATTTAGAAATAAATATATAGAACGCAACATAATTTTATAATAAATACCAATCATAAGGAAATCAAGGTTTTTGTACCTAGAATACATGGAAATCCTCTTTCTCATCTTATCTAGCACATGGTAGCAGGGAAATATGAAAATGTGTCTTTAAAACTGATATGCGAGTTCTGCGTGTCCTTCAAGCGCCACCTGCTGGAGATAAAGGTACTGCAAAATATTTATTTATTGCATCTTGCTTTCAGATAAAACAAAGTGACGAGCAATTTGTTCTCTACACCCCAGTTAATTTTATTAAATTTGAAACACGAGTTACAGCGTACTCCACAGCATTTATCAGCTTAGGAAATTAAACTGCAAAGTAATGGTGATCTGGTGTGAATTTTTCGTATCGTTGCAATAACAGGGAGTATTGTATTAAAAATAGAAGATTTTATTTGGTCTTAATTTTACTTTATGCAATGAAACCTGATTTTATGAAAAGGTATTGGCGTTTATGAGACGGTATAGGAAAAAGGTATTGTTCAAAACAGGCTGCAAACTGAAAGAAAGTTTCACAAAATTGTCTTTAACTTCCTGTGAAACTCTATTCCAGCCTTGATGGGCTGGTCGATATTTCTCAAATGCACTGAGATTGACATTAACGTAACATCATCACACCAGGTTACACGTTAGAGTAAGCAACTGTATTGCACTAAGAAACCGAACCTTATGTCCTTATAGCCAATGACACAGTGATTCTATGGCAATTTTTATGCCTCATTTAAAAGCATACAGTTTGAGTTTGGTTTGGTGACCTGTTTTATTAGCTTATTTTTGTATTATCATTAAGTTAATAAGAGGTAGTTCAAAATTCCACTTCCCGTTCCTTCAGTACTCGACAGGAAGGGACAATTCAGCATCTGTTCTTTAGTATTTACATTTGAAGCTGTACAGTACTCAACTGGGACAGGTATGTTTTAAAGCAGGGTTCCCTAAAGTCCGGTCCTGGAGGGCTAGTCTGTAACACAGTTTGCAGATTTCCCTGCTTAGACACACCTACTAAACCTGCCAATTGGCTGCTGAGATGAATAAGGTGTGTCTGAGCAGGGAATTCTGCAGACTGTGCTGTGGACTCCGCCTCAAGGACCAGAATTGGGGAACCCTGCTTTAAATAGTTTCCAGCCTCACTATCCAGAAATTTGGTAAGATAAACAATGAAACAGATCCCAACCTTTAAACAAAGAAATAATAAACAGTCACAAAAGGATGATAATGACACAAGCATATATACGAGCATATACGCATCATTACTTTTCAATATCATTTAGACAATGTTTTTCATTCAATTAAACAACCAGGTTTATTTGCTCTTTACTTGGATTAGTGACATCTAAGTTTTTAAAAATATTTCCTTTCCTGTCAGGAACTAATTTTAGAAACATTATCCACCAGAGCAAATTCATTATGCTATTTTTTTTGTGCTAAAATTGTTGATAAGGCACTCCTTTGCTCAGTATCTGTACAAGCTTAACATATCCATTAATGTTAAATCTGGCAGATTTTGTAATACCACTGTCATCAGCTGTTGTCTTTGCAGTTTACAGCATAATTAGGTGTTTTCAGTATTAAACACAAAAAGGTAGTATTAACATTAATTAATCAATATTCTCAAAAGTATTTTCAGGAAAAACTCATCACAAAGTCTTAGAATTACCATCATCTAAGCCCAAGCCACTCTAAAGTAAACAAAACATTCCCCCGCATATGTATCCATGAATTAATTAAGAAAAATAAGCTACACAGAAACTGAGACAGTTTTCCAGGAACCGTGAGTGGTACAGCCAGTAAACCAGGGGTGGCCAATCTTATCCACAAAGGGCCGGTGTGTATGCGGGTTTTCGCTGCAACTCCCTAATTAGATTACTAATTAGAGGACCAATTGGCTGAAGAGTTCTCACACCAGGGTTTGAACAGCTGACCTGCAGGTTATCCCAAAAACCTGCATACACACCAGCCCTTTGCGGATAAGATTGGCTACCCCTGCAGTAAACAGTGGGTCAGACTGCAGTGTCAGTGGGTCATGTGACCAACCTAGACTTCTGTTGCCGTTGAAAGGCAGCGCAGCCTCAGAAAGACATGCGTTGCCCTTTCATATTTGGTGCAGGTCTTACTGATTGCCACCAATTAACCAGTATCCTGTACAGACAGAAAGACTGAGTGTGGCAAAAATTTGAAAACACCTGAATTCAGGTGAAAATCCAGGAGGGGTGGATGTAAAAATTAATACAAGTGTAATATGCTTTCAATTTCTCTGTTTACATAAACCTAATTGGCTAATGAAATAAGCAGCCCCTGAAGCTGATCTAGCATGGTACCCTCCCCAGGGAGGATAACAATCCCAGGGAGCATATGACAATTTTTATCCCCGACCTCGTGCAACCTCTTCCTACCCTCCTGCCCACTGGTTTAAAGGACTTTAAAAAGTTGCTGTTTTTAAAGGAAATTAGCTTTTTAGACTAAACTTTTTGGGATATATTTATGTTTGTACGTTTAGTTTCTCAAAGTAATAAATAGTTCATTGTACTTTGAACGAAAAAGTTTCTTGTTTGCTTTCAGAGGGTAGTTACATCTGGATGCGAATTTACTACCTGAAATTAGCATGTAATTCATGAAATGGAACCTAGGATTAAAGGAATATCATTATAACTTTTATAAATAATAATAAAAATGTACTTTACTACTAGGTATATTGAAGACTAAGAAACTATACCAGATTTTTTTTACTAAAAATATGGGCCACATGGTGGCCGAATGAACCTAATTTTGTACAAGAACATATACAAACTTCTCAAGTTTGTAAACTTAAAAAGGACAAATGTTTGCTTTCTGCCTATATCACATTTAAAAGGACCCAGTTGTTTTATTTTTTAAATAATTACCCTGCCGTATTAGCAGTGCAGGCTACAACATGATTAGACAGAAGATCCAATAGCCAATCCTATTAAAGCGCTCTGTGTAAGCTGTCCTCTTCTCACATGCCGTGGTCACCTGCCCTCCTGCTTTCCACCTTCCCCCTGCTCCTCCCTCTCAAATTTTGGGCTTGTCTACTTGCCGGTTGGCCTTCCGGAACAGGGATTTGATTTCCTCTGTCACCATTTCCTGCCAGTTGTCCCTGCAGAGCAAACGTGCAGAACGAGACACATGTCATCGGTGAAGGTTCTCCCCTCTGCCATTTCCCCCAGGGTGGGCGTCTCACACCTAAACAAGCTCCCCCCCCCCGTGGGTGGAAACGCAGCGCTCAGAGCACCGTGAAAGCCAGCCGTGGAACCACCATCTCCACACGTCACGACACCTGTAAGCTACATACCCACACAACACAACACAGCATGCTAAGGCTAACTCACTGTCTTTGCCCACTCATAGCATCACTGCTTTTGGTCTGCTTTCCTTTCTTTGTACTTAGCTATATCCTCTGGCAGCAGGCCGTGATTGTTTTCCCTGCGGACAGAACGCACAGGCGACATCAAGGTCCTCTCTCCTCAAAGAGGACCACGGTCCCCACCGTCCTCCAGCAATGTTGACTAACAATGATGTCATTAAGCCACTTTGTTGTCGAAATCATTTGTAACATGTGATACTGCACTATTTATGGAGATGGAAGAATATTGGCAGTAATGTTTATAAACAATCAAAGAATGTTTACAAATATACATTGAACGATTAAACAAGCAAATGAAGCAACAATTGAACAAAGTTCTGAAATCTCTAAAAATCGTAAGCATTTCCACAACTTTGGCCACTAGTATACACTGAATTTAAATCAGCAATTCTTGTTTTGAGATATAATCCAGCGGTACTGTAGTAAATTCTTTGTTTAGATGTTTTACTGTTTACTGGCATCAGGAGGTGGATTGTTCAGGTCCAGAAAGTCAAAATCCAGACCAAGATTTTGTTTCAACCAACCAGTTGAGTATAAAGACTCACAGTCACAGAATACTCACCTGGTCAGATTTCTACTTTCTGGACCTGAATTATCCGCCTCTCATTGGCACTGTCATCGTATTTTATATTTGTATATAAGTGCAAGTCTAGATGCCCACATGATATCTGTAACTCGAGCAGACAGTCATTACTTATGGCACAGTCAGTCCTTGGAGGTCTTACCCTGGTTTTATTTCTGGTGGTTTTGGCAGTGGCTTTGAGAAGCTGGATTTTCCCACAAGCCAGTATGTCTCTTCAATGCCTTTGCCCTAGACAAAAAAAGACAACATCTCAGTCAGATACTGAACGTTATTTGATTTCATCCAGAAAATTTGAGCATAAGAAAGGGATAAATGTGAATTTTTCACCTTCAGCTCTGTTTTTCCCCTGAGCTCTATCTTGTAGCCCTCATTCAGAGTTTGCAGAATATTCACTGTGCTTATATTTACGTGAATTCTGTAAGCTAGACCAGGAAATAACACCATAAAATCAAATGATATCATATTACAGTAATGCGTTATTGTAAAACAATAATATAAACAAACTTTGGCAAGGAAAGTATAATGTTTCAACATGATATTATTTTACAGATTAGTCCAAGGAATTAGGTGAGTTTGTTACATTCAAAAAATAAATCTGATACACATATATAGTAAATACAGTAATACTCTAGCCAATGTGGATCAAAAACGGTACATTTCAATACTGCAAGCAATAATATAATTATTTATGTGTACAATCTCCTTTGTTCGGATCAACGTTCGTTCGAAAGTTCGGGAGGGATCTGATTTCATGAATTTGGTCAAAATTAATGGTAGTGACTCAAGGGAGGCAGAGACTCACGCAAGCTGGTGGATTCCATACGAGAGGCAGTGTTCACGGTGTCCCCGAAAAGGCAGTACCGAGGCATGGTTAAGCCCACCACACCAGCTACGCAGGGACCTGAACAACGACAGACACTTGTCACTTATTCGTTCGCTGACCATGTGGGACCTACAGGGCTTCTGGTTAAGGATTGGGACCAAAAGTCCCGGGAAGGTCCTGATGATAAGATATCAACAAAGATTTCTGCCACAATTTGCTACAGCAAAAGCTTCCTCTTATAAACACACAAAAGATGTGTGTCCTTGTAAACACTAAGAATCATCCTGTCTTCAGAAAGCTAATCAAAAACAAAAGTTAACAGTTGAGGAAACTGGAGGCGCTGTTGAGCTTGGAGACAGGCCTGGGCTGGTCATGTGGCATACTGGACACCAGACATTTTCATGTATCTGTGGTGAGCCTGTCTGGGCAGAAGTCCAGGGCCAGTTCTTAACCCAGTCCAGTGCTGCTTAGAGGATTCTACTGCTCAGAAGCAGTAAAATCCTGCCAGGTAGTGATGAGAAAGTGAGGTTTGGAAGTCTAAGGTGATGGAGCTGCCAAACTCTGCCGTTCCCTGACTCCATTCAAACAGATCTCTTAGATTTTATTGGTCAGTTCCAAATCCTGTTTCCCACTGGATTCAACCAAATGCTGCCAGTCTTATTAATCACGACCATGGAGGGTTTTCAAGCCTCAGTGCTACCTGTCGGGGGGCCCCAATCATCCAGTGCTGTGGAGATGGCTGGGCTGGCCTCACCTGAGTGGATGCCAATGCGTATCCTGACGGGCACCTCAGGCATGTGGCGCATCTTAAAGGAGCCCACAGAGCTCAGGATGTTCAGGGACATGTTAGCGATCTCTGCTGCGTGCTTGTTGCCGTTCTTCTTCGGCAGACCTGAGGCCACCATGTAGGCATCGCCAATGGTCTCCACCTGGAAGAAGAAAAGCCTATGTGACCCTTCCTCCTATCACATTAATCCCTGCCCATAAGACATGCATCCAGTGTTTGTCACTCATCGCTATGGGTCAGCTTGCCTTGTAGACGTCATGGTTGGACAGCACAGCATCAAATAGAGTGTATAAGTCATTGAGGAGGTCAACCACCTCAATCGGGTCGCTGAGGGAGGAAATGGTGGTAAAGCCCACAATGTCGCTGAAGTAAATGGTGACCTGGTCAAAGTACTCAGGCTCCACAGTGCCCCCTGTCTTCAAAGCTTCTGCAACAGATCTTCAACAGAAAATCCAGGCTTTAGATGCAATGTATAGGTTCTTTGCACCAAGGTTGCACCTTTATCTCCAAGTAGGAAAATGTCTTCTCTTAAAACAGATAATAGAAGTTCCTATAAGAGTAAGGAATATGTCTTTCTGGGTGTTGTGAGACAAACTCACGGTGGTAGCATCTCAGCAAGAAGCTTCTCAGTCCTATGTTTCTCCACCTCCAGTTCCTCGGTCCTCTCCCTGATTAAGTCTTCTAGGTTGCTGGAGTACTGCTCCAGCATGCGCAGCATAGAGTCAATGATGTTGGTCTTCTTGCCCTTATTAATTATCTTGAACTGGGACATACAATCAGATGAAAATTAGCCATTCAGCTGTGAGAATCCACACCCACTAGGGGGCCTCATGTGTGGCCCAGGTTGGGGGTATTCACCTGGTTGAATATTTCTTCAAATGCTGGCCTCCGGTCAGGCTGCTCGCTCCAGCACTGCTTCATCAACTGGATGCACTCTAGGGGTGCCTGGTCAGGGGACACGGTCGGCCGACACATTGGGGGTGGTTTCTTCACCTTCCTAATGATCTCTGACAGGGGTTGGGACACCAAGAACACTCTGAAGAACACTCTGAAGAACACTCGGAAGAACACTCTGAAGAACACTCTGAAGAACACTCGGAAGAACACTCTGAAAAACACTCTGAAAAACACTTTGAAGAACACTCCGAAGAACACTCCGAAGAACACTCCGAAGAACACTCTGAAGAACACTCCGAAGAACATTCTGAAAAACACTCTGAAGAACACTTTGCCTCAATCCAATCTATAGCATACATTTTTACTGATGAGCCTTTTTACCAGCTTTTTCACACCACATTTTGTTAGCTGTTTTTGTTGTATCCCTTTAGAGTAATGTATATACAGTATAGTGTCTACCAGTAACCACGCTGATGCAACACAAAAGGTCTGTAGAGAATAATAAATATACCCTTAGGGTTTACCTTCGGGGCTCAGACCCAACATGCAGTAAGGAGCTCCTCGAACAACAACTTCCTGGAGTATTATGGAAAAGGCATATACGTCCCCTTTGTACGTCCCCTTCCGAGACATTTCCAGGTCTCTAAGGAGCTCCGGCGCGGTCCAAAATAGATCTGAAGAACAAATTCCCTTGTCATCATATGACTTGTTGTATTACGTTGTTACAAAGGCGGCGTTTAAAGCATGAGATCTGGACACTTTGGTATACACGGTATTTAAAAAGGATCAAGATATTGAATAATGATATAACTCCTCAGGGTAGCATATTTTTCTTTGCTATTAAAGTCCCAAAACTTCAGGGAACTATGACAAATCTGTCCAATTGAAATGTAATCCCAATGGTAAAAATATGGCACATAATTATTAAGGAACAAAGTCAATGTTTGGTTGGCATGGTGCTTGTGACCTTGTCTTTGATTTTAGTACCTTCAGCTGCAGGCTCCTTCTTTGGGGCCTTTGGGGACTCCAGGAGCTCATTATATCCATAGTCTGTAATTTTCAGCACGAAACGACCGTCCACCACACAGTTTCGCGATTTCAGCCTCCCATGGACCAACTCTCTGTGGTGCAGGTACTTCATGCCCTAATGATCAGAAAACAATATCTATCACTTAGAAGAGTTTTTCCCAATCCAGTCCTCAAGGACCTACAGCTGGTCCACGTTTTTGCTCCCTCCCAGCTCCCTGGCAATCAGTCCACATTTTTGCTCCCTCCCAGCCGGCACCATGAACTGTCTGTGGGTCCGGGACCAGATTGGGAAACACTGACTTAGAATTAGAAGGCCGACCATCAGTTTAGAAGTACAGTCCAGGGTCTATTTTGAAGAATGGAATGCAGTCGATATCAAAGACTCAATGGAAAGGGAAGAAACAAACCTTAATGAGATCCAAGAGGAGAGAGGATTTGAACATCCAGTCCAGCTTGACATCATCATTACGAAGGAGGTCCTGCAGACTGCCGCGGGAACAGTGCTCTGTCACTACGGCAAACATGCTGCAGTCCGCGAAGAAGCCCAGAAATGGGTTAACGTTCTCATTGCGGAGATCCTTCATCTGGAAGAATAAGGTATATTAGGTAGTAACATTAGCTGGTCAACCACCTGAATCGACAATATTTTGTAGCTTTACATTTTGCACACATTAGGTGTGAATGTGAATAACAGGGGTTGGGCAAAATTATGAAAAACCCTAACAATATAGCATGAGGCTCATGGGAGTTTTACTAATACAAAAATGTTCTGAGGGCAGAAGGAGAAATGATTGATTCAGAGAGATAACCAATCAGATTGTAGAGGAGGTGGATCCAAGCAACTAGATTAGGCAGGACCAAGACATATGATTGGCTGGTCCCGCCTCCTTTGTGTAAATAAAACTCCAATGAGCTAGTAATGTAATACGACCCCGTGACCCTGTCCTGGACACATGGTTAGAAGATGAATGGATAGATGGATTAAAGTAAAGGTACTATTTGGAGCAGGACAACCCTTTGCCTTGCAATATTGTCCTGAACTGTATGTAATGCGATTTAGTCTTCAAAATGAAAAGCCTTCCGATCTTTGAAGAATAAATGAGGTGGAAATCTATGTGACAATCTGGTGTTAGCGTCTTTCATAAAGGTTCTATGATATTCTTCCTGACATTCATGAAACCATTCCTGAACGTCTCTAGCAGTGTGTAAGCGGCCAGTATCATCTCGGCATATGAGAACATCAAGCGGAAACATGACAGATACGGCTAATGGATCATCTGTTTAACCTAGATCCCATCATCGCAGCTGCATGCCTTCGCAGTCCTTTTACAATATAATTTCTTTTATCTTGTCCACATGTCGGCACGCTGATATGAACATACCTTTCTGAAGATCTTTGTTGTGCTTGTCTTGACTTCCTTGAACTGTCCCTCCTCAAACTTTTTCAGCCAGACCCAGTCACCCTGTGGATTTGAAATTGCAAAAAGTTAATATCCTGACACATATTAGTGACCAAATTATACGAACGGTCTACATACCTCATACACAGCGACATTGGTCGTTTCGTGAGTTGCTGCTGTCGTGCTGTGTACAGAATGAGACCTGTCCCCGGACTTCATACTCTCCATGACACTTTTTGAGTCACTCAGGTCCTCTAGTGTTACTTTCTATAAAACACAAAGTGCATTTCACAATGTTGACATGCGGAGTTAACCTCCATTTTACATCTGACATCATCAACATACAGATCTGATAGCAAACTAGAGACTGACAAAGAGTTTTCTTGCTGTCTATGGCGTATGGAAGCACTTGCCTTGCTGCTGAGCTGGGGGTTGATGAAGGTAAGGTCCTCTATTGTCAGGAGGATTCGATTGGGCCCTTTCACCAGCTGAATCTGCTGTATTCGTTTCCTGTCATAATGCAATCCAACAGATGTCAGGATTAAAATAAAACGACTACAGCCACAAGCAGCCACTTCTGGCCTATCGGAATGGGGTTGTTGACCTTTTACACAACAGTGAACAGTGGAAATATAATTTTTGAAATTCCATTTGAATCCATGCTCTTTTGTCATTTTTCACTTGTAATATCGGTAGTTTAAATATACGCTTCTCTATTTTTTTTGCCCCAATGCAAGGCTATTGTTTTGAAAACTGCAAAATATAAAACAAGTAAGTAACAGTACCTTATAAATAAAGATAAGCCCATGCCGCCGATGGCGAGAATGAAGACAGCCACAGAGACCACAATGGCATAAGTCATATCCACACCTTGGGGACAGGAAAGGGGACAGAAACACATGTAGATGAACACAATAGGAGACAATAAAGACAATGGGAATACAATATTTACCATCTGATCCCCTCATGATCATCAATGATTTTGACTGAGAAAAAGCATTACTCCATCCATCCATCCATCCATCCATCCATCCTCTATGCCTGCTTGTCTTTTGCAGGGTCACAGGGCCCATGTGATACAGCAATCAATAATGAAGAGGTTATAATAGTAAATGGATAATGTTTAAATCCTGAACATATATATTTAGAAATTACAAAGCAGATCTTTTAACTATTGTGATTGAGTAATGTTCTTCTCTGTGTAAGTAAAGTAACTTGGGTGGGTTTGGCCGTGGAGTAAAGTAACTACAATCATACCATCATGCTGCTGTTCGGACATTACAGTCAACACCGATGTCGTTCTTCTGACCACAAGACACCTTTCTGTAAATGCGCATTCACATCCTCACCTTCCCTTCCTGTAGCCTGTTTAACGATTAGCACATGAGAAGCATGTCCATGAGGTGTTATGTGGAGTTAGAGTTTGTAAAGGAGGTGGGTCCAAGCAATTAGAGGAGGCGGGACTAACCAATCATATGCATTGGCCCCGCCTCCTCTACTTTCTGGGACCCATCTCCTCTACAGTCCGATTGGCTATCTCTCGGAACCAATCATTTCTCCTTCTGCCCTCAGAACATTTTTGTGTAAGTGAAACTCCCATGAGCTCAGAGTGAGGTTGAAGCTCTCACCTGCTGTGCAGATGGTGTCTGGGTTAAACCAGCAGCTGGAGTCCTTAGACGGTGGGGAGCCTCCTGGGAAGTTGATGGCTCTGCCAGTAAAGGTCAGCATGTTTCCCCGCAGGTCCACCAGGTAGGTGGAGTAGAGCTCAGTGCTCTGCCCATCCGTGTCCAGGACCACGTAGCCGGTGACCCCATCTCCATCGCTGTCTATCTGAATGTACTGGTTGAAGCCCATGAATGTAATATTCCTAGTGAAGAAGGCCAGGCTCGTCCCGGACAGCCACTCCCCTGCTTTCCGGACATTGTGCAGGACTTTGGCAATGAGGTAAATACTGTTGTAGATTGTTCCGAAAAATGGGGAAACCTGGAATGTAAACGTAGGTGATTCAACCAGGCTGGACGGAACCAGAAGAGTGATTTCCTGTATCTTTTGCACTTTGCAGCTCCATAGTCAAGAGTGTGTCGACAGAGACAACACTCTTCACATACTGAACTACTATTTCTTGATCTTATGTTGTACAGATGCAGTTTGAATTGAATTAGAACCATTGGAAACCATTTACTAGAACCAAACAGAAGAACTATACACACACTTGATATCAACTGATCATATAAAAACTTTTAGGAAAATGATTTATTGCTGCTTTATGAATGCAGGGTAGAATATGCGTGGGGATTCATTCAGTTGTTGACTGTGTCTTAAAAATGATTTTTGTAGTAGAAGGCTGAGCTGGGAGAGGAGTGGGCAGGAGGTCACAGAAGACTCACGGATCGTAAAAGCCAGACATTTGTAAACTGGCTGTAATCTGTTAGGATGACGTATGTGTAAGGTTTCTTCTAGTGGGATAGTGATCAGAGCGTTGTGACATGAGGATGGTAGGAAGCAACAGGGATTTTTTTTTATGGTAGAGCGTAACAAAAGCAGTGATGAGGAACAAGCACTGAAACAGGCACTGAATAAGGGTACAACTACAAATAATGGAAGGGTCAAATTTCAGGATCTGGATGCATTGACAAAGACAAAGGTGAGTCAGACTTATGTTTATGGATAAATCTTTCTACTGGTGTGGTTGGACATTATTTCAAGAACAAGCCACCCTCACCTGCTGCGGCTGCTGTGGTAGGGTGACCTGGCCCAAGCGGCCGGCCACCAGGAGTGCCTCGTTGAAGGACATTAGCTCCGACGCTACAGTGACCGTTAGCACTGCGTCGTAGGCTTCACGCAGCTTGGTGTTGTTCTGCAGCGGCGCATACGAGGTGTTGCTGTAGGGGAGGCTGTACAGCAAGGTGTCGTACGGCACAAAGACGTACCTCCCCCTCGTGAGACCCATCTCCTGGGCCTTCAGCAAGAACGAGGCCTGCAGCTCCCCGCCAATCAACACCGAGTGCATGCACATGACAACAACTGCAATGCAGACGCAGATGCACATGACAACAACTGCAATGCAGACGCAGATGCACATGACAACTGCAATGCAGACGCAGATGCGCATGACAATAACTGCAATGCAGACGCATATGTGCATGACAATGACTGCAATGCAGACGCAGATGCACATGACAATAACTGCAATGCAGACACAGATGCGCATGACAATAACTGCAATGCAGACGCAGGCTGTGACTGTTTGTTATTGTCTTCTTACCTTTGGCACTAAGTCAATAAATGTAAATATTAAGCTTTGAGAAGACAGAAACATATACAGTTAAAACTTGACATTGATGCTGTAATAACACTGATATTTCAAAAGTCACAAATGGCCCTGAGAGCTTAACTTACATGGTGATGATGAATGGAGACGTTTATGTCTAATAATTTATACACACGTTGACATAAACAAGGCTGTCTAAACAATCTTAATTAACTCTTCAGTGCTGAATATTTAACAGAAAATTACAAAGTTTGTGTAATGTAATGCGTTCATTTTCAAAAGAGCAATGGAGAAACAGTTATACAAGGCAGAAATTTTATTTAAGACAATTAACACTAAAAAGGTAAAAGAGCAGTTGAGAAAAAACATAATCTGGGGGGGGGGATGTTATTAAATGGACTGAGGAGAACAATGCAGGACTATGAACACTAAAACATTAAAACCTGAATATAAACAAATATCAAATAAATTGACAATAAGCAGAAATATACCGAATATATGCTAGTCTCAAATCTGCATTAAGATCTGGCATTTAAGGAATGTATTTATTGGGTGATTGTGGCACTGAATGGAGAATGTGTCTCTGTACTGACACATAAAGTGAAATAAAATTAATACACCATGTTAGATCTGTCCTTTATTACTGCTTTAATTTGCTAAAGCATCTTTGAAGTAGGCCTCTCCCGTTAGCTTAGCATGACTCCCATAAGATACTAAAAATCCCCCCCTTGCATGCTGACTATTATGATCCCTGGAGTGGAGACAAACCTATGCAAGAAACCACAAGAGATTTTGATACAGGTGGGATTTGTTTACCACTACATTACAATTGGTCTCAATGACCCTGGACTGAGTAAGTGGATGGATTTACTGCAATTGGTAATATTGTCACTTAATCACAAGCTACTTGACTGTCGTTCTATTATTATAGCATAAAAAAATCGAAAGGAATGTAGAGCGTGCTGTAAAAATGTGTCGCAAAACACCAAGAAGTTTATCCAGTAACAAAGAAAGTTGTTTTTTAAATGACTTTGCAGAACATGTATTCCTATTTGCAAACAATATTTCCATAACATAAAGCAAAACTAAGTTATTGAGTGTTCTGCAGTTAACGTTAATGCGAACGAAACGCACGCAGTTTACCTTTGATCGCTCCGGCCGCTTGGATTTTCCTCAGGGCCATTTCGGTCTCGGTGGAGTTGTCTCCGACTGCGGACACTATCCCAACAGGAAGCCCCCGGCTTCTAAGAGAGCTGGCCAGTTTACTGGCGGTGTCCACCCACATGTCGTCCACAGCTGAGACGATTCCGACGTTGGCCCATCCGAAGTGCTTCAGGACGGCGAAAAGGACCCGGGTAGGTGACGGTAAAGTCCGAGCAAACGTCGGGTAAACTTGGAGCCGGTCCAGCTCATAATTAATGCAAGCCCAAGAAAATATGGCCTTGTTCCAGTGTTTACCCAAAAGTGCGGCCGCATCACAATAGCCGGGGCTGGTGGGCCCTGCGATCGCATGGACGACGCTGTTGTACTGTACAAACGCAGTCAGCGCTTTTGCGGTCTCGCACGGCTCATGGAGAATCACAGAGTCAAGGTCATACCCTAAATCTAGGCTTAGGTCTTTCTTTACCCTGCTTACTGCAAGCTGAGCTGCTAGTCCCGGTAGGGCTTTTGCATAGATGGGGTCACAGTTCCAGGGCCCGACGATGCCCACTTTAAAGACTTGACACTGGACACAGCAGGGAAACATCATTACAGCGAACATCAGCCATAGAAAGTTCCAGAATGGAAGTGTTACTAAACTGTGTCTTCCGCTGATATAGGGACAAAAGGGATGATTGGAGAAATCCCATAGAAAGGCTCCGAAATTGAGGGGGGTCTGTTGCATTGTCCTTCTTGGGTCCAAGGAAGCCGTGAATTTGACGTTAACTACAAAGCCTTGTAATTCGGGACAAATATAATGAGTCAGAATTAAAATACAGACACAACTCTCTCACCAAAAACTACTTTGATTTGAGTCTGGGGTATAATATTTAAGTTACTCTCACAAAAGTATAGGCCTACAATGTATTAGTTTTAAAAATATTTAAGAAGAAATATGGTACTCACCATCCCTTTGTAGCTCTTATTGGTTAGTGTAATTCATCTTCTCAAAAAGCCGGATCGTTTCTCTCTCCTTTGTCCCTTTTCCTGCTTTTACGTTAAACTTTCACCTGTCCATTTCCACAGACACATACATGTACAGTATGTCGCCTACAGAGTTAAGTCAAACTGTGCAAAGTGAAAGAAAAAATAAAACGAGCAGGACGAAAGAAATTTTAACTTCAGTGCTGCATTTCGGGACACAGCGATCCATCTTCTTATCGGTCCTTCCAAAGGGACGCAAATGTGCGTCGCGTGCCTAATGCCGCGATGACAGACACCTTCAGCACTCTGGAGAGCTGCTTATTCCTGTTCACGCTGGGCACGGTTGTGTACCTTCGCCTGTATGACGATGAACTAATTTTGAAATAGTAAGTTAGAAAAATATTTTCTTTAGATTTTACCTTTGAAACCTGTACGATATTTAAACGTCAGCTCAGAATTTTAATCAATATTAGCATAAACGCATTAACCTATTATAATAAAGTAAGAACCAGGCCTGTTTATAAATCACACAATAAACAGACGGAAATAAATGTTCGGGGCAGAACAAGTAACATTTTTTGAAGCGAAGATTTTACAAACTAACCTGTAGCTACCATGTAAGAGTTACACATAGACATAATCCATTGTCAGTTTGCTGTGCTTGTTCTAAGAGGATTGCAACTCGACATCGGAGTTTCAGAAACACTTTGATGTTTAAAATTAAAGCTAGTTGTTTTATTTCAATTGTTCAAAATAAATGCCGGTTTTGCTGTTGTGATTGTATTTTTATGCGTTTGTTCAGGAAGCTGAGTGAATCCTGAATTTAATTAAGATCGTGGAACTAGATCAATTAAAACATGCAACAATATACTAACCCGGGTTACAATGTTATATTCATATTTAACCTTTTAGGTTTTCAGAGATGCCCTTTATAATGTAAAATTAACTTATCGACTGTTATTATGCACAGAAATAATATCACCTAGATTCTACTATAAGTACTACTAATTATTAAGCTATGTAAGGACTATTTTTATAAACGGGTTTGGCTTCTGCATGGGATGCAGGCGTATTTAAAAATTACACAACCTAAATGTACAGAGTGAGCACAACTGCACTTTTACCATGGCGACAGCTCTGCACATTAACACATCTAAGCAAGAGGCTGTAATTGGACTAATGTGTTTGTATCATTGTGACGGGCCTCTGAGTTTAATTGAATTGCACGGTAATCGGCGTGGGAATAATTAAACGGCTACCCCCCGATACGTCCCTGGAGTTCATCTACAATTGCACGCGTCAGTTTTTTTCCCTTGTTATGAGAAAACAATTTCAGGCAATTACATAGGCGGTTCAAGCAGAGGTCTTTCATTGCCCATAAACAAGGAATATTAAGGATAAACAAACGTGTTAAAGTTACATGGCCTTAGGTGCTAGTGCAGTAACAGGACCACCGTTTGGTCTAATAGGAGGCCTAGTTATGAACCTCAAAAGACACGACTTGGAAATGCAACTGGAAAATTAAACATATAAAACTATATATTTATTTGAGAGTTATGCATCTTGCTATGCGCAGCTACTTCTTTATAGCATTTAATAAGTTAACAGGTAACATTCAAAAGACTACAAAACAGCATACAACAGCAAATAATTACAAATAGATCGTTTAATTTCAGTAAGGCTATTTTGATTGGTATCAAAAAGTTGGTTTTTGCATAGTAAAAGAGAAACGTTTTTCTATAGCTCCGGATTATTGATCGCCCGACCACTTTAAGGGGCAGGTACCTTTATTGAATCAGTGAGCATGAAACGCAATACATCAGGTGTTTTATTATTATTATTATTATTATTATTATTATTATTATTAGCGCTGGGCATTGCTCATGCGTGGTTCAGATCTCCTGCTGACCCATATCCTTTAAGCCGTTGAGCTCCTTAAACGTTACACATTGATACCTTTGAACTGGCGCCAGAAATAGAGGACAAAATTGCGGCCTCAGCAGACAAACACACAAAGCATTGGAAGACGCAGTTGATCCTGGACACGGCCGGCGGCCGATACGCAGCGCTGCGGTGTCTCATGGTGAGCGCTGGACCAGGATGCCAAACCGTCATCCTCCATAGTCAATTTTGGAATTACAGAGATAGTGAATATCCACACTACACGAATGAATAGGTTTAATACGAATTTACTACGTAAGCGGTTAAAACGTGTAAAATGTTGTATAATTAACCATAAATTATCATGGAAATACAGGCTGTGGCAATACATCAAAGATATCAATCACTTTGGATCACACATTTAGGGCTATAAAGATTTTATATACATGAATAATAGTTAATGATAACTTCATAAGTAATTATGGATAAGCAATGACCATTTCACATTACTGGGGAATTCAATCGGTTAGATCGGAGGAAACGTGCTTCTGGGAGGCAAATAGATTTTTCTTTCTTTGTTCATTTGGTCTTAGTAAAGCCACGGGTCATTTAAATATAGATAAAATATAGCCTATGTAGTTGAGTCTCTAGTGTAATTTTTGTCTCTAAGTGAATTGTTATAGGACTGGCCCGCCTGACTTTCTGTCGGCTATGATTTTTGGCTCCGCTATTGCTACAAGCAGCGTAGGTGTCACGATACCTGTCGCATATAATGAAAAATTGTTATTTAAATCTTTACGTCTCCATCTAGCGGCGAAATGTACACCTGCAGCTTAGAAATTGATTTAAAAAAACGCGTCTAGTTACATATGTTAAATGTTTTAAAAAGAGAACCATAAGCTCCTCACCTAATTTCAGAAAAAAACTTAAATATTAAATATTGTCAACTAAATTGAATACAAATAAGCATAATGTCAATAAAAAAAAATTCGGTTTAACATTTTTTTTTCAATTAGTCGAATACTGGGGTTGCATGATCTTGTAAAAGACGTAAAATCAAGTTAATTCACTTTGCCTAACAATTCTCCATCATACTCCCTCATTTGTTTCTGCTGTTTTAGAGTAAGAAATTACTATTACCTATCCATATTACTAGTGAAAAGAACAGTAATACGGCATAACTAACAGTGTAACGTAACACAGTCAGCTGCCAAGAAAATTTTCATTTCTTATTAAAGACTTACTCATCTGAGAAAGCATATTTCTCTGGGTCACAGATTAGTGATCTTGTTTATGAGTTTTAAACCAACCCGTCCCTATTTAATTTATATTTTTTTATGACCTGATGCCATAACTCTTGCTGTTGTGCATGGCCATTGTAGTTATTCTCTTTATTGGAATTTTGTAGGATTGGAAGCATAAGCACTATTATGGCATTTAGCTTCCTTTGATGATTTGATGGAAGCAGAATCCATTAATCCTGGGCTCTTCTAGAGATATTCCCAGAATCTAGATCCCTAGATTCTAGGAATGAGGTCTGTGGCCTGAGCAGACCTTGTGTTTCCTGAACTGCTCATTGGCAATGACCCTCCTGTGGACTGGAACATTTCTGTCCTAGACAGCACCACCCCTGGCAGGGAGGAGACACTGCATTTTGGGATACAAATGGCTGCCTGGACCAACACGGCACCACTGTGCATTTAGCCTGACCTGAAATTGGAACGATTTGACGCAGGCGGTGCCAGGAAAAATATGCACTTCTCACTGCTGCAGAACTCCGACCTGCCAAGTCTAACCATTTTTCCTGCAAGATTCACATTTTCGCCGAGTCCACATGGCCGTGAAATAACTTTCTTATGGATTCGCAACTTCAGTGAAAACATTGAAATTTGTGCCCCTGGAGTTTCTGTAGGATTTCTAACTCTTCTTTGCTGTTAAATCATTAGCATTGTAGAAGTCCCAGTGCTGAGTAACCATGCCGCATCGCATACATAAACAATTTTCTTTTTAAAAATGATGAGTATATAGGCCCACATTCATTTACAATTCCTATCCATCCATCCAACTTTTGTAGCTGCTTTTCCCATTCAGGGTCGTAGGGGGTCCGGACCCTATCCCAGTGGCAACGGGCGCAAGGCAGGGAACAATGTAGCAACAGCTGATAGCAATTACGCCAAATGACATTCTTTTCATGCTGCAATCGAATAATTAATTGTGATTATATGTATTAATTATTGCATGACAGTATGTGTCTGTAAGACAGTGGAGGGGATTCTGGGATGGAATGAAGCCCTGAAATGAATCTCTGTGGTCCAGCAAGATTCAAGAGTCTCCAAATTACCCCCCCCCCCCCCCCGTCCCCTTTACCCTGAGGGGACACTGGCGCACCTTTACAGCCCCAGCCCTAAGAATAAAGCTTTCCCCCAGAAAGTTGTCTTTCTCTTCTGTGTCTCTCTCGTCTCCCCCCTCCCTCTTGTAACGAAAGACTAGAGGTTCCTCCATAACACAAATAAATTTATTTTTTCATCCGCCTTCTGTCTGATTTGAGAATATGTTAATCAGCCTGCACAGCCAAAAGCTGTATGGTGCAATTAATCAAATTATACTCTGTAATCTTAAAATGTCATCCATCCATCCACTCATCCAACCATCCTTCCATTTTTCAGAGCTACTTTTCCAAGGTTTTCTTGGGGTGATCCTTGATCCATGTTGTAGTCCCGTTTTTATATAGAGCTCCCTCACTGCAATGCTATC